TGCCATTGCCTCCTTCCTAGGGCTGAGAGAAAGTGACTGGCCCAAGGTCACCCAGCTGGCTGTGGGCCTCAGGCAGGGATAGAACTCACAGTCTCCCTGTTTCTAGCCTGATGCCTTAACCACTAGACCAAACTGGCTCTCTTAGCTTCCTGTAGGAGACAATAACTACTTTAAACAAAATTTATTTATTTATTTATTAAATTTGTCTCCTGCCCATCTCCCCTCAATGGGGGACTCTGGGCGGCTCACAACACGTTAAAACAATAAATAAATATACAATTAAAACCTATAACAATACACATTCACAAAAATAAAAGGGAATATTTGTTGAATCATTACTGAAAAATGCAAACTTTCAAAAGGCACTATCAAAATATAGTACGTTCTTTATGTAATATACTATAAGGAATATTTAAAATTTCAGTATAGTTTAAGAGGATATATTATTAAAGATTTTAAGCCTTTGTTAATTTATCAGGCTAAGACTTATGCATAGAACAGTCTGCTTTCATCTGCTGGCTCCCATTGACAATACATGAAGATAATAATCTGTCCATAGCCAAGCTTTGTGTGACAAGTGAATGTGGACTTCGATATTGTCTACCTGTAAGAGACCCAAGAATAAAATAATTACTAGACCAGATGCATACCATGGCTTTATTTGCTGGCTTTGGTTGGGCAGGTAAATTCAAAGACTTATTAACACATAATGCAAAGCTGTACTTACCAGCCAGACAGCTTGTTAGCAGCATCTGTTCTCAGGCCATGATGGAGTAGAGGAATATATGAGGGCATGTTTTTCACTAGGTCAGCCTTATATCCTAGCTCTAAACCTTAATCTAAAGAAGAAGATCTTTCTTCTAAATTCCAAGCATTTTAGCCAAGTTAATGTGAACTTCCAGGTAGAAGTTACGTAATTCCTAAATTACATAATATTTATAACTTTTCTAAAACATGACTTTATTTTCAATATTAAAAACTTGTCTTATCACATAGTGTTCACAATTCTAACTCACAGAATATTCTATAAAAAAAATCAAAATCCATCTATTAGTGTAAGTAATTAGCTAAATCTTAAATTAGATTTTTGAGAAATACTGTAATTTGAAATTGTCTCAGTAGGGGGCAACACTGCCTGAGTTTGTCTGGGCTGTGAAGCTCAGGGGGTTGGAAGTTGGACAAGACACTTCCAGAGAATACAGGGCTACAGGCGAGTTTGGGAAATCTACATGTCACTGAAATAGAATAATTCCTTCTTTTTACTGAGCTGTAGATATTGTTCTTGGTATGTATTTATTGTTGTATGCATCATTTATATTCATTTTATGCCTATACGTTTCATATCCCATTCCTATACTAGAAGACAAGCTATATTTTCTTTATTAATACTATATTATTAATGAAGCTATTTCTCTTCCTCAGTAAAAGGTTTGGCAATAATAACAGTATAATCTGTTTTGTTTTTCTTTTCAGACATATTCAGAATATTAGTGAGATCAAAACAGATGTTGGTAAGGCTAGAGCTTGGGTTCGGCTCTCCATGGAAAAGAAATTACTCTCCAGACATCTGAAACACCTTCTTTCTGATTATGAACTTACAAAGTATGTTGAAATAATCATTTGCTTAATGGACATGAATTGGTTTGTGTTTCCCTTTAAATTCACTTATCATACCTCATAACAACGCTAACAGATACTTAAGAGATACTGTGTGAATTTCATATTTATTTGTGAAAGAAGATAGTTTTCAAATTAAGGTATGAGCTCAAACCTTTGGGTTTAATCCCAGTATTCTATGCTACTCTGAACTGGCATGAGATAAGAAAAAGAAATACAGCTAAATACAGTGGTACCTTGGGTCACGAACGCTTCTGTTCACAACCAATTCGGGTCACAAACAGCACCGTTCGGAAAATTTTCCTTCCGTTCGTGAACCCCGGATTGGGTGACGAACAGGATCCACGGCCATTTTCCCTGCCATGACACATGGTCGTGGCTTCCTGTAGGGAGGGGGACTCTCCCTCCAAGCAATAACCGCCTCCCCACCCGCCTTCCGGTCCTCCATGCCAGAAGTCGCGTCGAGCAAGGTTAGCGTTCTCTCTCTTTGTACTGTACTTTGTGTCATATTTTTGTGGTTTAAAAAAAAAAACACATATGTTTCAGAACGGATTAACCATAATTACATTGAACCTTATGGGAAAATTTGATTCGGGTCGCAACCAAAATCAGTTGGCGACCAAATTCGTAGGGGTCAGAACGGATTAACCATAATTACATTGAACCTTATGGGAAAATTTGATTCGGGTTGCAACCAAAATCAGTTGGCGACCAAATTCGTAGGGGTCAGAACAGATTA